TTAAATCAGTTTTAACTAACTTATAGAATCAATCAAACCTAGCGAAAAAAAAGAGGTATCCCTTAAGAAAATCAGTCTAGTAATGCCAAGCTTATGGAAGTTCGAAAGTTCCAAAGAGAGTATTTCTATTGTTCAAAATATGTCTCAAATTTGTTAATAGAAAAATGCAACAAATACCTAGTTTTACAATTAAAATTCAGAATCAATCTAGAAATTAAAACGTGACCAAAAAAACATCCTCTTTGAAAATCGAATCAGTTTTGACAGGGTTATGGAAGCTGTCAACTTGGCTAAGACACTTATTATAGACTGGATATTTCTATAGTCTGACATATTTGGAATGCATATTTGGCAGGAACATATTGTTGCAGTTATGGTAGTCAAAAGGAGCTCTAACGCATATGGCCTATGAAAATGGCAAAAGTTAAAGAAGTTTGCAAACTAGAAAGTTTCTAGTAGAAGCTATGTACGCGATTTTAATATTTGTTGGCATGAGTTTTGATAAGGAAATAATTAATAACTTCGTTTCCTTATTTAAATGCAGAAACAATCTAAAGTCGACTTAGTTTCAACAAGGTCTTCTACAGAGTATAGAATGAAGCCTTATATACCTTATACCTTATATAAAATAGGTTCATTTAAGTCAGAGAAGCTTGTAATCTAGAAATATTCTACTAGATTAAACAGAGAATCAGAGAATCAATCTAGATCTAGTTCAATCAATTTATGAATATCGGAATGTCTTTAATGAATATATCAAATATCAAAAAAAATATATATCAAAAATTAGAGAGAGATTTGAAAAGCATTTAACTATATTCCATGTAGAATGATCTCAGCCAGTGCTATTTGAATATTAAGTATTTAAAAGCACATTGCCATATCCATATGTAGTATTATATTAGCCAGTGCTATTTAAATATTAAAAATTTAAAAGCCTATAACTAACTAATAAAAAAATGGCAAGTAATAATAATTTAATGAATTTCCAACAGTTTTAGAACAATAGTTCTACTATTAAATTGTGGAACTCTTTTGGGAAGCGGTCGGAACAAAACGTGGCCATTTTGTACGCCTGTTTTGCCCGATGCCGATTGGCTGTTATAAAAGGACAATAGACTGACGTGCGCTGCCCCTGCCTCCGGGGCAGAGCACGTTTTACTGGTCCTGCGCAATGTCCGCCTCTGGCGTGTACATAATGTGCGCAGGTCTTATATAAGCGTGATGGCTATATACTTACCCGGCAGCCGCAGCATCCAGCCAGCATCCAACCAGACTCGTAGCCAAAACTCGAGGAGGGCAAAAACAAAATTTATAACTTTGAAGCGACTGCTGTTGGCTTCTGTCCATTTATCTTTTGGCTGGGGTTTTTTTTCGCTCGGTTGGGTAGAACCTCAAGCCTCAGCCGGGCCTGTCCACAATACCACCAATGGCAGTTAGATTTTATGGGCAAAGTTTTGCTGTCCTCCCCTCTCCTGGGCTGCAATGTCGCCAAAGTGGCGCCATTTTTGCCGCATTGTCGTTGGAAACGAAGATTTTTTTTCCATTTTTTCTTACGAGATACTCTAACATTTTTATACTCTAGCATTATACATGAAAATTAATATTTTTAGTTATAGCTTTACGTTTTCTTCTTATTATACAATTCTCTTGATATATCATTTCGTTTTCTACAAATTGTTTTTTTTATTTTTACTTTAAACATGGAGACTGGAATGGAACTTGTAAAAGACACCGTTTCTCATTTCATTTATAATTTATAATAATTACATAATATTCAGTATAAAAAACGTCAAAGTGTAATAAATTCAACGCATTAATTAAGTTTCGTGCTAATAACAAAAGCTGCCAAACTTGTTTTTTTTTTTTTGTCACAACTTAGAAGACTCAAATGCTTTAGCTCGAGTAACGTATAAAAACATAAAGTAATTGTTTATTTGCTAAATTTACGGAATTCATTATGTATTATTATTATTTTCATTACGGGTTTACATTTTTTATTTTATTTTATTTATTTATGTTTTGTTTTGTTTGTTTTTTCTCGTTTATATTGAAATGCAGAGTTCACGACTGTACACACTGATATGCACAGTTTTGAGAGTAGACCGAAACTTTAGACTTGGCTAAAACAGATAGGTTACAAACACAATATATATATGTAATGGGGGTATGGGATCTACTAGTGAACTTAGACTGCAAGAAATTTGTCTTGTGGCTTTTGTCATGAGGCTTCTTCATTGTTCTAGTTACTTGTTCAGTTTCGTTCTCAAATTAAGTCACATACAATTTTGGAGACCCTGGCTTGAATCAATTAGGTCTACGTACAAAAAAAAAAACAATTATACAATATTGTAGAGCAATCTAAGCTGAAGTCTTCAGTATTTCATTTCAACTAAATTTAGTTGTCGCCTAATCAGGTGTGTGTGTGTGTGTGTGTGTGTTCGTTTTGCGTGCTGCGCCGAATGCCTAGTAGAACTTTTTCGCTTGCGCCTCGCTGCGGTTTCTGCAAATTAATAAAACAAAAATCAGTTTAGGTCAAGCAGCTAGGGTATCATATGGGCCTATTTACTTGAATATATTGTAGAGAAATACTAGCAGCAGTTGCACAACGGTGACGCTAAGGAATAACGTGACACCTACACAGCTTCCGGTGGGACAAGGCGCCACCTGGGCCGAGCCCTGTGGCATGCCCAATCTGTAAAATACCAAGAGCTTAGCAACATGCACAAATAGAATTCAATTTGAGGGCAACTAACCTTTGGCCCACATGCGAGATGCCCTGCTTGACCTGATTCATGCCATCACGCATCTCGGCTATCAACGTTTGCACATCGTAGCCCGTGGACTGAATTTGCGCTGTGGGCGCGTTCTTCTGATTGATTTGTATATTATCAGTACGCACATTGATATCGCCCGCAAGCTGGCGTATTTCGCGTATGGTGCTGAGCAGAATGTTCTGATTGGCAATCAGTAAATCCACATCTTGCCGCGTTACACCAACGCCGGCGGGTAGCTGCTGCAGGGGCACGCTGCCAGCCGCTGGCGGTGGCAAAGCTTGGCCAGCATTGGCAGCCAGGCCACGCGAGACTAGAGACAGCGTGTTCTCCTGGCGACCAATGATCTCGTCAACCTTACGCGACAATTCACGCAGATGCTCAGCTATTTGGCTCTGACCCTGCCAGATTTGACGCAACTCGCGCTGATTCTCTGACTCGTAGAACTCTTCCCAGTCTTCCTCTTGGTCTTTGTGCTGTTAAAAAGTGCCAAAAGAAAAACCCACGTTAGCTCAACGCATACTATCAGCGGTGCAGATAACGCCTGTCTATCACACAATTGGCTGTCAACGTGGATTAAGCATAATTTATGAAAGCCTATTGCCACACGCCTTAAGCTCTGACAGTTGATATGGGGCATTTGATTGTGCGTTACTTACTGCTTCATCCGGATGTTCATTCTTGTACTCCTGCTTTTGCTTCTCCAGTTTGTCCTGGTACTCCTTGTATTCTTGGGTCAACTTCTCCTGATTGTCCACCTTTGGTGGTTCCTGCACTTGGCCGGCAGCATGCAGCGATGTGGTCAAAAAGTGGAACACATCGTGATCATCGGCCAGGCCGCCAGTTGCCGCTGAAATGCCAAAGTAGCCGTGCTTGGGCAGCTGCACACCATCGGCGCGCAGACACATCTCGTAGTCATCATTGTTGTTCGACATGCCATTGTGTATGAGCACAGTGAGCACATTGTTGTAGTACTCGATGCGAGCACGTGTGGGGAAGGGCTTGTTACGGAAATCTCTCAGGCAACCGCTGAGCAACTGCGTCGTACCATCATTGGCATGGTCGTACTGCTTGGTGCCGTCGTTGACCACAGCGCTGATGTATGGATTGTTGTGCTTGTTGTCGTTGTCGAACGAATCAAAGATGATGGCCAGGCCATTCCAGCGATCGGAGGAGCCAAACACAGCACCATTATAGTCACCCTTCTCCGTAGTATACCAGAAGGCCAGACCGTCGGCTCCGATGCGGCCACGTCCCGTTACGCGAAAGACAATCTCCACATCCCACCAGTCAAAGTTGGTCTGTGATTTTGTCCAGATGGCGCCCTTCTGTGAGCGCAACGAGGGCGCCACGCGTACGCTTTCCGCACTGGCGATGGCATCTGAAATGTAGAGCAACAGGTGGCGTTTAGTTTGTCCACAATTTGCATTTAAACAAAGTGCCTGCGTGTACACTTTGCTGCTTTGGCGTTGCGTTGCGTTCGATGTTTCGTCTGATGCTGGCCGCTATTTGCCGTCTCGCTCGCACCCATGGCACGCATCGCAAGTGGCCTGAAGACGGCCAAAACAACTGACGTGGAGCTGCCCCCGTTTACTTACTTCCCCCGTATTCCCAGAACGGTACTGTGCCATCTTTTTGTGCCAAATATGGCGGCTTAAACGAGTACTTGTACTCAAACCGTCTATGCACGCCGATAGCACTAGGATTCACGTTGGCCGCCACATGGTTCTGTGTAATAATTATGCAGAATATAGCCAGAAATTTGCAAATCGTTGGCAGCAGTAATTTCGACCCGGTCGCTTGCATCTTTCACAGTTTGACAGCACCACTATTGTTGGCCTGCTCTACCAACAACATGCCAAGAGTTGCCGAGCTAATCTTACAAAACATAAATACAATACAGCTATCGAAAGTTATCGATTGCAACAGTGTCGTTAAGAGTGCGCGCGTTTGAACAATGGAAACTAATCCGATATTTGTATGAGGTGGAAAACATTTATTTGGAAATTTTAAAAAGTGTTTACGTTGCAAGGTAAAAAACGTTCGTCTTTGTGAAAATGCATTCTAGAACATTGAATATATCTAAAAATGTTCGTTTCGAATGATTTATTACAAGACTCTTGCACATAGACTTACATATATTATTATACTCGTACGATTATTTCGTTTCAATTGCCTTTTGCTTGATATCACCAAAGTAGTTATGTTTTTTTTTTTCAAAAATTGTTTCATATTATAGTAGTGTTTACTTTTAAGTTAACGTCTAGTCAAATAGGTTTTACTGCCTCATTAGCAAATAGTGTGGGCTTTATGGCATATTATTAGTTTGCTCAGCTTATAAGGGTGATACTTAGCTTGGTGTAAATGTCGGTGTTTATGAGAGCCCTTCCTTCAGGCTAGCGCATCATTTTACAAATGTTAGTTACTCAATTCAATATTTAATCACAATCACTTAACGTTTAGTTGTGTGTGCGCTTTTAAATAAAGAGTTTAACAACAAAAGTTGCTGTTTGCAAAAACACAAGTCATTTTGTTTATTACAACAAAAGGAAAAAAAGATAAACAAACGTTGGTGCCAAAAGAAAGAGGTAATATGAGCATGCCTTAATAATTCGTACTACGATAATAATAAATTAAGTTTAAATAATTTTGTGGATTGCAAAAGGTAGTACATACAAATGGATAAGTACTGCCAAAAATAATGTATATGTATATATATATAAATATACATCTATATATATATATATATATATATAAAATATGTTTCATAGAATGTTTACTCTCGAACTTAGCCGTGAAATGAACGTGCGCACCCTACAGACTACAAAATACAAAAAACTATGTGTATACAATTGTTGCTTAATAATATACACGCTACAATATTTAATTGCGAATTGTAAATTTAAGATGGGTTTTATCTTGTATATAAGATAAGACTTATAGCTATAGCGTTTATATGCTCTTCTTAGCTATCCTATTATATTTCATATTCATCAGTGCTCGCTTTTTTTTTCAATTCAATTATTGTTTCACATCTTGATATTGATGTTTTCTTGTTGTGTTCAGTTTCATCTTTTTAAAGCAAATTTCTCTTTTGCTTTCTATTTTATCGTTTTTAAATTCAGAATCACTTTATAGCTTATGCACATTGAAAGTTTCTTACATTAAATGTGTGTTTGTTGTGTGTAGATCTTGTGTGTGTGTTTGAGTGTAAATCAATTCAAGCTAATTCCAAAACGAACGCAAATCGGGCATTAGACATTTAGGAACGAAATTCAATTTGCGGACAACTCTTCAGTGGCAGTTAACAAATGTTTGTGAGTGTTTCATAAACTGTTTAACAAATGCGAATCTTATTGGGTGTCTATTACTTAATGACTTGCATTATCTGTTTGGATGTGTGTGTATGCATGTGTGTGAGAGTGGCTGAGGTAAATAACATAACATAAACTACTACAATTATACAAAATTAAAAACCCTAAACTCGAAAAAATACACGCAATACTCTCTAAAAAGATTCTCTGCTTGACTCAAAAGACAGTCGATCCTCTTATATTTTGTTTTTCCTTTTTAGTGCACGTGCTGATGATGCACTGCACTGGCGTGCGCGGAGCCGAATGCGTTCATCAATTGACCCTCATAGATGGCAATGAATAGCATAATGAGCACACCGCTGAGCATGCCCACAATTTGCAGCATAAACTGCGCCAGCGACTTGTGAGCAGCAGAAATTTCAGGCATCTGCAAATGGAAAGGCGTTTAAGTTATTTGATCTATCGATGCACACACACACACACCACTCACCATATCGACCAGCGCAATGTAGATGAAGAGACCTGCTGCCACGGCAAACATCCATTGGGCAACCTCCTGGGATTGACCAAACACAATGCCAAAGATCATGCCGATGAAACTGAGCACTCCCGTCAACAGATTATAGTACACAGCCGATTTGACCGACATACCGGCCTTCATAAGAATGGCAAAGTCGCCCAGCTCGTGCGGTAACTCATGACAAAAGACAGCCAAAGAAGTGGAGAAGCCACCGGCAATGTTCTCGGCGAAAGCGGCACCAATAGCCATGCCGTCGGTGAAATTGTGCAAGCCATCACCCATAATAATCATCCAGGCAACTGCGCTTAAAGTCTCTGGTGGTGAATGCACGTGTCCATGGCGATGGCTGTGTCCGTGATGGGAGGATTCATGCTCACGCAATATGACAGTCACATGATCATTCTTATCCTTGCCTCCATTTGCCGTTGCCGCATTGCCGTCCAATTCAGTTGTCACCGTATTGCTGCTGTCCTGTTGTTGATGATTGTTATGGTTGTGATTGTGGTGGTGGTGGTTCATCTCTGCGTAGTTGTTGTGTGAGGTGGAGAGCAGAGATTGTGCAGCCGCTACCGCCTCATTGGAACCTTCATGCTCAGCCTTGTCACAGCGCCGATTGCTACACTCGCCGCTGGATGCATCGCCGCCAGCGCCAGCAGCAGCTGCCGCCACAGCAGACGCTGGGCCATCATCCGGCAAATGCATCCATACGTCCTGCTTATTGTTCACCGTAATCTCGTCATAGCAATACGGATAAGAGCTATACTTTTGCTTGCACATCCTGTCGCCCGCCACAGAGTTGTTTACCGAAGAGTCCGGATCGCGCATAACCTTGGCGCGCGAAGGTTTCTTTGTTTCCTTCTTCTCAACGCTTTTGCGCCATTCAGATATCATGGTCAGCGCATGCTCCGTCACATAGAAGAAGATGATGCCGCCCAGGCAGCCCAAACCCTTCATGATCATGCCGTGCTCGTCCTGGCCGGCCAGCGACTAAAATAAACCGTCAAATATTAAAATATTATATTAATTAAATATTGCGGCTACTTACGTGCGGCAGCAGATGCAACAGCGCATCTCCGGTCATGGTGCCCACGGCCAGCGATACCAGATACTGAATTATGTGCTTGTAATAGCGTGAGTTCATGAATGGTATTATGGCTACGCCCACAAGGCCCAAAATTCCGCAGGCAAACACCGAAGTAAAGGCATAAATCCACACTGCAATAGAAACGCATTTTAATTTAATTAACCTCGAAGCTACATTAGCTACTTTATAAAAACAGATAAGGACATTTATCTTTAGAACTTGTTTTATGTAAAAACCCTAGACTTGGGCAATTATTCTATTTGAACAGCACGATGCAAACGTGCTTCTGCTAATGAGAGGAGCTTAGTAGTTGCAGAAATACTGAGACTGAGCCGGCCGACCGCAAAAATTCGGATTATCTGTGCCCTGCAAGAGGGTATTAAAACTTGTTACTAGTGTAGCATAGGAAGACATCTTTGATCCAGTAAGGAAAATATTATTATTGGTTACTTCTCGACCAAACTCAGCAAATATGAGCTTCATAATTTTACTCGCAATCTTGGGCATGCATTGTTGTTTTTAACTGAGACAGTCGTTTACCCGCATACAGATAGACGTGCCTAGTATATATATTCAGTTGTTGATGCTTATCACTTAAACGTTTACGGAAGATTCCTTTTCTTCAATGTCTTATACATTTCATGATAAGGTTTATAGCCAAGACTGTTGAAATGTTCGCTCTACAGCCTTTAGCTTTCTTCTAGTACCTACCATAAAAAATGTCATCTTTCTGGCTCGCCTCGTATTTATCAATTTCAGAGAGCACATCGGGTTCTATGCACCCACCGCTGCTGGTCGCGAGCTCGTGCAGCAGAACTGGGCACAGATACAACAAGTCCCGCTCGTTGAGCTCATAGTCTGTATGCGGCTGGGGTACTGGTGTGGTGTCTAGTGGGGCGCAGGATATGCTGGTGCTGTTGCCATTGGGTGAGAGCGTACAATTGGTCAGCAGCAGGCGATGCTCCGCAGCGTGGTCGCCAAGATGGCTGAGATCATGCGGCTGCACATGATGCACCAGGCGCTCAACTGGCACGCACTACAAATATAAAATAGGATTAATAGGGATAACACTTGAAATTTTTAAGCGAATATAACTTACGCTCTCGTTGCTGCTGACTAGCTGCTGCAGTCCGAGCTTTTGCAGCAGGCTCTGAAAGCTGCTGGCATTTAAGGTCTGCTGCTGCATCAGTTGCTGCAGGAAGTGTTCGGTGATCTGCGGGACTTGTGTATGCGGCGATGAGTGGTCGTGTTCATGTTCGTGGCCGGCATGTCGCTTGTGTCTCCTGTAGGGCGGACTTGTACTGTAGTTTTGGGTATCGTCCTCATCGGCTAGCTGCCTCTGATCGGTGGTTATTTCACTGGATGGACTCAGATTGCCGTAGGCTAGGCGCGCATTCAGTTTCATCTCTGTTCGCTGCGTGACCAGCATGTCTCCAATATGATCCTGGCAGTGCAGGCGCTGTGCGCACAGCAGGCACACCACACACACGGCCATTATGTGACGTGCCATCTTGATGGACGGAGCGAGCTCCGCTAGTAAATAATCTTGTGAAAGATCTGCTAATGCCGCTTCTACCGCTCCCGGCTACTGCTCTCGCTGCTGCTGCTGACTCGTGTCTGGCTTATTGTCGTTCGTTGTGGGCCGCTCTGCTCATTATATATTCAGCTATTCGCGCGCTTTGTTGGATCTGCACTGGAACGAGAAGCCAAAATGGAATTAGCAAACTTTTGGCCGGCTCAGTGAAGCGTGTTCGACGACACTCCGAATACCCCCACACTCATTACGCATGTGTAGATCGCAATTACAGAGGCTATTGCATAACTAAACAATAATGGCAATAACGAGCGGAAGTTCAAGTTCGTTTGGCGGCCACTTGATGGCTCCTTATATAGACACAAAGTTTGTTGTGCCCCACACACACACACACACACACACACACAGACAAAACACAACAGTTTTAGCTGCAGCCATAAATGGAGCATTTTGGCTGCATTTCTAAAAGAGACACTTTGGCATCATAAAAAGCCAATCAATCAATTTGCAGTAGGTGTAAAGCGATTTAAGACCTGTTTTATAATCACAGCTTACAAGTTCTGTGTAGGCTATACTTATACTCTTTTTCCACTGATAGTTGTGCAGCTGTATATGTGACAGGCACAAGGAGGCATTTACAGCTCCATAAGGTAGACGTCTTTTAGATAAGTTATCAACAGCTGAGTCTAAGGAGCCATATCTAAAAGAACTCGTCGATGTCAGAGTCTTGAGATATATAACTTGAAAAGTTTTTGGTCACAGTTTTCTTTTAGCAAGTCAAGTTTGTTTTTAAGTATCTTTTACGTTTCCTTCGTAAGCTCTAGATTAACACTAATCTTTTATTGTCGCCTAACAATTGCACTGTTTTCTGTGTGTTTCTTTAAAATGTTTCCACTAATCCAAAAACGAACTCAAGTAAAGTTAGTTCTGGACAGCTAAGTGACATGCTCTTAAATGCACTGCGATTCGCAATTTCAATTGGCAGCAGCTCGTTAAGTTAGGTTAATCAGCGTAGCAAGTATTACGTAAATAGTGGGAGCTGTGGGAGCCATGGTTCCACCTCCAAAGACGACAACGACGTCATCAGTTGGGGCAACGCTGCAACGGGCTAAAGACAGACCGCAATTGGCGCGTGGCAAAAGTGAAAGATAGGGGAAAGCAATACGAAAAGTTTCCCTATCCCCTCTGAAAATATGTTGAAAATTGCTTTGTTATTGCTGTAACTAGCAGCTGTTGTTGTTGTTTTTGTTGTTGTTGTTGCTGTCATTTGAACAATTTTGCAATTGCGCACTGAGTGGGCTACCGGGCAATTAGTTTGAATTTCTGCCTGGGTTGAGCGCGCGGGCTGGCCAATTATTGATAAAACTTTGGCCAAAATATTTACGACTCTCGCGCGCGCGGGAGTGTTGGGCACTGTTGGGGGGAGGGCAAGGGTTCGCGTGGGTGGCAGATATGAGCTGGCGCATTACCTACGCAATTGCCCAACTATCATCGACCTAATAAATGCGAGACGTCATCGTCGCCTCGAGCTGCACAAAGTTGGGCGTGTGAAGGTCACGCCTGGCAGTGGGCGGGCAGCCCAGCGCCTTGCCATTGGCATTGCAATTGGCAAGGACATTTGCAGCTACAGGCTGAAGGTGAAAGGTTGCAAGCGCAACTTGCAACTTGTTGCCAGGCGGACTCCACAAATAACTGACAATGAAAATCAATTAAACATGTGCCAAAAATAATTGAAGCGAAGCCACGAAAATTACCGAAATACTTTCCCACAGCAGACGCAGTTTTATTTTTTGATTTCAATAAAATTTGATTTCTTTTATTTGGTTTTTTTTCCCTTTAGTTTTTTGTTGCAATTTGTCAATTTGTCGTTTCCAATCAAGTCGACTACTCAGTCAATTGGTCAAGTGCTGACCGCCAATCTTTTATGTCTTGTTGTTGTATTTGCCTTTTTGTTTATTTGTAATCAAACCTAATTTACATTCAGTTTGCGTGATTTTCATGAAATAGCAGACACAATAAAAAAAAAAAACACACTGAGAGAAATTGGGTGAAAATCATTGTAGCAAAAACTTAAAATGCCATAGTCTGGCATCGGTTTTCTATATCATAATTATATAATAATGTTTTTTTTTTTTTTGTTAACTTAAGCTCCAGCTTTTGCCCCACTGTCGCCGCACACCCACCAAGCACTGCGAATCAAGCTCTGGACGCGCTTTCCACCAAAATCAAACTGAATAACGCGCGGCGCTCTCAGCTGGTTTTTATAGTCAACATTTTATTACATTATTTTGTTTGTGACTGCGCTTTGTATGTGGGTTGATCTGTTACAATGGGTGTCGCGCCCATTTCCGATCCCATAATCTGCGAGCAGAGCACTATTGTCGAGACAAAGGGATAAAGGCGTGCGCGCACTGGACCAGGTGTGAAATCACCTTGCAATTGAAATTGTAATTATTAAATATAAACCTGAATTTAGCTATAATATTTACTAAAAATACGATGTGATTGCAATACGTTTTTGATAAATTATGTTAAATGGAAAATTCAGAAATCTTTCTTGTACTAAACCTTACAGGGAACTCTCTAATAATGCTCCAAGTTTTAATAGCTTGCATATATAAAACATGGTAGTGAATTTTCTAAATTGTAGTTAAACTTTTGACGTAGTTAGACCTGCCCGGGAAATATTTATATAGCAATATATTGATCAAACGCAAATAACCCTTCAGGCTCTCTTTGATCTCAACGTGCATATGCATATCTATTTATATAAACTTCAACTTCAGGTTTCTACATTCTAAATTCCAGGTTCTCCAAATATCACATATGTAGTTCTGACGATCATTGTGCTGTGCTGGCGAAATAACCAAATATTTTCCACGAAGTAACACGATTCCGCAGGGCCAATAAACTTCTAAGCTGAGTCATGAGTTTTTTTTTTTTTATCGTTGAATCTCCAATTTTAGCACTTTTGAAAAACTGAAATTTCATACCCAAAGCTCCGCACACACAGCGATAACAAACACACACACACGCACACACACACATGCGCACACACACTGTTAAACAAACATACAAAATGCCTGACAACTCGGCCTGAAATTTCATTAGCCGCATTTCGAGGCGTCGTTTCACGTAACGTTATCTCCACTCGGCAAAAGCCGCTGACACGCCAAATCGCCGCTCGGCTGGAACTGGCGCAAAGAGCTCAACATGAAATTTCAGCCAGTTGCTGCCAGATAATGATATTGTTAAGGCAACAAGTAAGCCAACTCATATGAGCACACACTCACAAGAGAGTTATGCTAGGCGAGAGCGGTCGACTAGAAAATACCCTGCACCAAGTATATATCCCTATATAGAAACTAAACGCCTCAGCTGTGCTTCTTCAATTCTTTGCTATAAATTTCTTGAATATATCATTTTCAATATCTTAAATATAATTGCATAATCTTTAAGCATTTAGCTGGTTTGGCCGACTAGGAAATACCCTGCATCAAGGATATATCCATATGCAGAAGTTTAACGACCCGACTGTGATTCTTTTCTTTTCTGCTGTCCATTTTCATTTTCAATATCTTAAATATACTTTGCTTAATCTTTATGTATTTGGCTTGGCTTAGCCGACTAGGCAATACCCTGCAATAAGGATATACAACCTATACAAAATCTACACGCCTCGGCTGTGATTCTATTCATTGCTCAACATTTCTTATATTTCAAGTTTAAATATCTAAAATATACCTTGATTTCTTTAGGAATTTGGGCGACTAGGAAATACCCTGCATTAAGAAAAAAAAAGTTAAAAGAGTATATTACCAATAAGCCATAATGGAACCTACAAATCGCTTTCTACACATATAAAAAAAGGTCCTATATAAAGGGATCTTCGTCTCTGGCAGCGGAACATCCATGATCTATTTACATTTAGTACAGGGTATAACAGCGTTAAGAGCGCGCAAGAAGTTCTGGCTAGCAGCTATCTTGAAAATTGACAAGTTTATTTGTTTAGGCTGCCGCTCACGTCGCAGTCGAGTCAGCTCCTATCGAAGCCGCTCGTCCAATGTTGAGTGACCTTCCCGTGTCCGTCGACGACGCCGCACTCATAGTAAGCAGTGAAATACGACGGTCCAAGTTTAATATGCTATATGCTACTGCTAGCAAAACATACCTGTGCACAGGTGAGCATGTTCAAGACTGCGAACTGAGCGTATTGAAGGGCCACTCATTACGTTAAATAATTCATTGTAGATCTATATCGAGAATCATGCGGTAATCGCCTTGTAATGCCCGGCTTCCTGGTGAGGTGTGTGAGGCGTGGGGGCCAGTCAGGTAGGCAGGCTGTCAGAAAAAAGGCAGGTTGCATTTTAAAATGCATGGCATAAAATATGAAATTCATTTCGTTGCACCCACACACAGCTCGTGTGGCCAATTGTTTATAGCATTCGCAGTTGCGAGCGGTTCTAATTATGGTGTTCCATGACCATTGCCAATTGATAAAACTCAAGCTCTTTTTAATTGTGCCAGGAGTGCGCTCGTTGAGAGTGCCCCACACGAAGATACCCTGTACCCAGGAGCTTGTTACCAGAAACTTTCTTCTAAGCATAAGCTCAAGATCATCAATTGAGGCTTCGCCTGTTCATAGCGCAAAGATAATACGGAAGTATTCGTTGTTGATCCTGATCAAGAATATTATTTATATATATTGGATTATCGAAAATGTGTTCTTCATTTACCCCTTTCGTACCGACTTATTTCCCATGCGTAGGGTACAAAAATGTACTTTCTAAACACTTGAAAAGGTAAAACACATGTTGATATATGTGTCATTGCCGATATGCTCAATTTATACACATACACATGCACACAATGTGTATATGTGTGTTGTATGTATGCATGAATATTTATTGAACGCCCACGCAGCGAGGGTCCTACCAAATTAGTCAAGTAATCTAAGATAAGATACAACTAAATACAGATATTTATGCATAATTTGTTATCTTGCGGTAAACAGAGCATTTCGGTTGGCCCAAATAGTAAGGAAATCGAATGTAGAACAGAAAATTCAAACCCAAAGAGAAACATTAAAAATTCGTATCGAATCATACTTATGTATGTATATACACATATAATAAACATATATACACACAAACACACACATGCACAAGTGTCAAAAAAATCCATCGCACATGGACTGCGATGTGCTCTATAAATACATGCATAAGCGATGATTGGATGCGTGGGGGTAGAGGGGGGCGCGGGTGGCCAAGGTACTGGCGGAGTGGCGGCTGCTGCACAACGCACACAGCTGTCATTATCGGTGTGAATAGAATCTAAGTTAAATCAAAGCAAAGAACAAATACAACATTTGTAGCAAGCCGCATATCAACAAGCATTCACAGGGCCCACGCACTCACACTCACACTGGCACACACACACTCACACATATGCTTGCGGAAAATGCGGTCGTTTTGCAGTATGGTTTATAAACTTACCTGTCTACATATAATGTATATCTTAAACTCGAGCCAATTTTTATGTGTTTTCTTATGTGTCAATTCCGAATTTTATTTTAAATAGCAGCTGCGTTTGGAGCAGCGAGATTGCACTCGTTTAATGATGTTCAAGTTGGAGCTGCGGCTGGCGGTGCGGCAGTTGGTGCGGATGCGGCGGCAACAATCTATTAAACACTGTGTGAGGCTGCGAGATAACGGCAAGTATTGATTGCACTGCAATAATCTTCTCTTTGGACACAAAATATACAATTTAAGGCATCAGCATCATCTGCTTGCGGCGTCGGCGACGGAGCGGCAATGTGGTGGTGAATTGGGTTAAAAGACCATGCACGAAAATAGCACCAACACGTTGTCGCGCGCACAATTTCTGAGTGTTTAGGCTAATTGATGGTGCATCGAGAACCCCAGCACATATATTTTAATATTTAAATAAATGCCGAATTACATTGCACGCACGCTCCAACAAAAATTCGCAATTAAAAAAAAAATATGACTGCTTCTTCTTATATAATGCCATTCACATGACAGACAAATGCGAATGGGAGCGAGAGAGAGCTCTGTTATGTTAAGCCCATGTCATGTTAGGTGACATTGGACTGTAACAGACTGTAATATAATGTGCGCCAAATATGAAAAAAACGATGAATAATAATTAATTGCAAAATAACAACAACATGAACTCAAAAATAGAGTTTATCAAAAATTTGGGTTCTCCTTAAAAATAATGTTAGCAATAAAGGAAGTTTTAATATGAGCAACAATTTTGTATTTATTACTTTAAAGAATGGGACAACACTGTCCGAATTCCAAACAAAGACGCAAACGCATGTGTATATGTATGTAAATTACATTTTGCAAGGCGTATGTGCACAACATGAGTTCCTGGCGTGAAAATATCACCAGTTTACCGAGCGCAGTTGCGCAATTTGTCAACGAAAGCGCTTCAACAGCGTCCACTTACCTGCACTCAGCACATTCCGGGTCGGGCACCTCTGTCTCTGAGGAGAGCGCTCCACAACACACAGATTTCAAGGCGTTGCCCATACCCGCATCCCTGGTGAAGGAGCAGTGGCGACTGATCTTCACATCTGATGCCAACATACAGGACTTGCAGGCGGCTATTGCGCATTGCCGCGATCTGGTCTTGTTGAGCGATGAATGCAGCGAAGAACGCCGTTGGCTTGTGCGTCATTTGGTGGACCTACGTTATTCGCTTCAAGAATTGGAGGAGGCGCAGGCTATTTCCAGCGACGATGTGGTACTGATGAATGCCATCAAATCCGTCGTGGGTCACCATTTTGTGCCACACTATCCAAGTGCACGCAACCGCCTGCAAGCGGCTGCCAAACGTTACTATTGCGACCACTGCACAGGCATCATCTGGCGGGTGGTGCAGGCGGCCTACATATGCAGCGATTGCAGCTATCTGGTGCACCAGAAATGCATTGACAGCGTTCAGCGCGTTTGTGCCCATGTTCTGGCTTCCGAACGTCAGTTTCCCGTCGCCGAGATCTGCCCCGAAATTGGCCTGGCGGCGCAGCGCTACAAGTGTGCCGAGTGCTCGACGCTACTCAATTTCAGTAAGTACTGAAGAGTCTTCAGTCGCAGGTTACTCACATCATCTGCTTGCAGAAAATTCGTGGATTGAGCCGCGCCTGTGTGATTATCGCGGTCTCTACTACTGTCCGTCGTGCCATTGGAATGATAGCTTTATAGTGCCAGCCCGCATTGTGCACAACTGGGATTTCACGCCACGCAGAGTATCGCGCACAGGTCTACAGGAGATACAGTTGTTCGTAGACAAGCCGCTCATCCGGCTGGAGGAGGAGAATCCCAAGTTATTCGTATTTCTCGAAAAACTGTGCACCGTTAAAAAATTGCGCCAGAATCTCGTTCACATGCGACACTACCTGGCCGCCTGCAAAGTGGCCGTTGAGCAGAAGCTCGTTGACCAACAGCTGGGCAGGCGCCGGCATTTGGCCCAGTCCAATGAGTTCTACTCCATTGGCGATCTCGTACAGGTGGAATCGGGCGTCTTGGCCGATTTCCTGCAGGGCGTCTTCAAGGTATTTGACGTACACATACGTCGCTGTGACATGTGCCTGGCCAAGGCGTACATCTGTGAAATCTGTAGCAACAACGAGGTCATATTTCCCTTCGACGATGGCTGCATCAAGTGCGACCAATGCAACTCTATATACCATCGTGTGTGCTTGACACGCAAGAACATGATCTGCCCGAAATGTGTGCGTATCCAGGAGCGTCGCTTGCAGCTCGACCGTATGGCAAGCAAGCAGGCGGATAAGGAAATTGATATCAATGCCAACGATGCCTCCGATGAAGTGCAGCCGGCGAATACCACGTAACCCGGTCACTTTAAAATGTTGTGTTTTTTAACTCGTATCTGTGTAACATTGTTATTTTTAATGTATATGTACATACGACCGTCTCGTAGAGGCGATTACTAAATATATATATAATAATATTTGCCCCGCCTTTATATGCAGTATGTTCACTGCGCTTTTTTGCCATACTTTTGACGATTGTGAAACTTGCGTGGATTAATGCCATATGCCTTGAGGCGGTCGTCGCTTATGCCATTTGGATTGGAATTATTCGGCTTGCCTTTCGCCTTGAAGTCGCGCTTTGAACGTGGTTTGGTCGCCGCACCGCCTGGTCGACGAGGCGCATCGTTATTCTTACCTGGTTTCCTGAAAGGATTTGCGCCCGGTGCTTGCCCAACTGCATCCTGTTTTGGCGTTTGCTGTTTGTTAAACGGATTGGCACCTGGATTCTTTTGGGTTTTATTATTTTTGTTAATCCGATTTCCAACTGGACTCTTTTGATTTTCATTATTTTTGTTAGGAAGTTGTTTTTTGGCAAAAGGATTTTTCGAGTTGATTTCATCCGTTTCTTGTTTTGCCTTTTGCGGCTCTTTTTCTCTAATCGGTTTCTTCTTAGCTGGTGTCGCAGTTGGTGCATTTTGCTGCTCTGCTTTCTCAATCCTCTTCTTTTTGGAAGGTGTTGCATCTGGCGTCGTTGTATCTTCCTGCTTAGCTGGCTCCGCGGTCAACTCATTTTCGGTTTTTGTTGGAGCTGTTTGACTCTTTGCAGTTGCAGCTGCTGCAGCTTTACGCTTCAGTCTTTTTCTCTTGGACTTCGATAGGGTCTCTGTGGGGATTTGGTCCGCCACCGGCGCAGCGGACTGCTCATTGGAGTCAGTTTTTGCGGCTGCCTGTGTTTCATTTTGTGCTCCTGTTTCGTCTTCATCTTCCGAACTGCCAGTGAGACAAGTAAAATTTGAATTTGGTCAACATGAGATTATATTTTCGCCCTTCTACTTACGCATCGCCGTATAAGCTTTTGAAAATTTTTCGCTTTAGATCCTCGTTCTTGGCTTTGAGCTTGTACAAGCGCTGCTCTTTTTTCTCCACGTAGTCTGGACGGTTTTGTACAGCTTTCTTCAGGCTAGCCCACTGATTTAGCTCCTTGTTCTTAGCTAGCAAGATCTGAAAGTAAATAGAGAGTTATTGAAAACATTCTACCAGGCCACATTGCCTATGGCTTACCTCTTCGATCGTTAGACCAAAATCATTTGGTGTCGTTTCTACGTATTTAAAGCGACATGGCTGATCGCCTACAATATCCTCATAGTCCAGTTGGTAGTATTCATCGATGTATTCCCCATAGGTTTGCTCATCCTCCGGATTAAACGCGGGCTTTTCCGCTTGGATCATTTCCATGAAACGGTTGCGGCGTCCCTTGCGACTTTTGCGACTGCGGGTATTCTCAATCAGTTCCTGCTGCAGCTGCTGCTTGGACGTGAGCGGATCATAGTCACAGTCCATATTGAAATCATCATCTTCGCAATGCGCCTCGTTATCAACTTCATTGCTTTGCCGCGGATCATAGTTGTCCCAGTCCTCAATGGCCAATTCTTCGATATCCGAAGGGCACTCTGGCTTCTCTTCTCCTTCGTCCACACCATAGTACTCGTCATTGAATAATTCTTGCATGCGACGGTCGTGTGCTTCTGGATCGAAATCCTCTTCCAGTTCATCATCTTTGAAGCCCAGCTCATCGTTACCTGTGACGGCCTTTAGTTTGCGTATTTTCTCCTCTATTTCCTTACGCTTCATGTCCTTTATCAGATCAAGTTCCTTCATCTTTTGCAGCTTCTCCTGCTCTTTACGCTCCTTTATTTCCTTACGTTTTTCCTTTCGCGAGTCGTCCGTACGTCGAATCGACTGCTCAATAGTTCGGGGATAACGCTTGATAAAGTCCGCGTCTGGCTCTTCAAAACGAAAGTTGTACTTTTGCTCAAACTCTGCCTGCTTCTCCAGCTCTTGTTCATCATCTGACAGCGGTGCGTTATCGCCCACGATCTCGTCATAGGTGGGTATTTCGGATGCATTCGTATTGGCATAACCCTTGTTCAGTATATAGTCGCGTAGAAAGCTCTCGCCTTGGGTAAGCTTGTTACTGCTCCAGTACTGCTTCAGGGGGGCCAACTGTTGCTGTGCGCTGGCCTCAATCTCCGCATCTGCCTGTTTGCCAGCCAGCCATTTGGCAAAATCTGCCTCTTCGGCGTCCGTTTGCGCCTGGGTTTTCGTACGCTTCTTAAAGATACCGCCAAATTCCTCATCTTCTCCATCATCCTCCTGGTTCATTACGCTCCTGAATTCTGCCTTTAAGCGCCGCTCCTCTTCCACAGCTGTGGGCGAGCGAGCACGTTCAAGGTGCTCGTCCGTCTGCTGTTGCTCATCGTCAGAGCTTTCGAATTTGCCATTATGCTCTAAGATAACTTTTCGTTCGTAGTCTTTTAACGTTACAGGCTTGCTCTTCTTGCTGGATTTTTTTTTGGCCGAATCTTCGTCCTCACTGCTGGCGCTGCTCTCCTTTTGGTTAAAGAAACGCGTCTCCTTGTCGTATATTCGAGGATCTTTGCTTTTTAATGATGCTAGAGTTTTAAAAAACTCTTGATCAAATTTAACGTCCACTTCATCCTCATCCGACGACTCGCTGTCACTGTCCAGCTCTGACTCTGAGATTTCTAGGCCCCGATCCTTATCTGCAACAATAAAATAAATATTAGAGATATGTTCGATCAGTATTTAGATCATTAGGTAGTTTACACTTCTGCAACAGCTCCTTCTTGCGTAAAACATTATATGACTTGGCGTAGTCCTGGTTGGTGGATATCTGCAAATCGTCCGCGTCGTCGTCTGAACCATCGAATAATTTGTTACTCATATTTAACGCTGTTTCTTTTATATTTATTGGTAATAAGCCAGCACGTGTGTTGATTAAGTACACTCAAACTGGTTCCGTATACCAAAATGAACTGTTCTTTTTGTTATGCCTAAACCTGCGTGGTTCCGCTTGCAGCCCTGGCAAGCAGCTACAACAAAGGGTGCTAATGCAGAGCTGACTATTTACAAAATTGAAAATAAATAGCGTTATTAAAAACATTCCAATAATATGACGGACACGGAGGAAGCACAAGTGGCCGCTTCGACCTCCACCACCTCCACAACACCCACCGACAAGGATGCAGCCAAAAGTAAGCGGCCGTGCACAAAACAACTACAAAAATCATTAATTGTTTTTATCATTCTTAGTTTGCATTCTGCTAAATGCCACTGGCAATGTGCCCATTATAAAGAAACGTACATGGACCGTGGATCCCAACAAGACAGTCAGTTGGATTCAGAAATTTATACACAAATTCCTAAAGCTGGACGCCAGTGAGCAGATTGTACGTATGCGTTCGTCTCGTGAAATCTTTATCAATGCTTATACATAAAATGTTTTCCCCTACATTTGCAGTTTCTATATGTAAATCAAACTTTTGCACCCGCGCCGGATCAGATCATCAAGAACTTGTACGAATGCCACGGCACAAATGGCAAATTAGTTCTATATTACTGCAAGAATCAGGCTTGGGGCTAAGACGACACGCGCCATGCTACTACTTAATATTTATTTATCTACGTTAAAATTTATGTTATTTAATTGTATGAGTTGATGCTGTAAACCCTATCATTTCACATTTTATTTCCTCAACTCGAGGTCTTAATTACGTCTATTAAAGGACCAAATTTGAAAACAAATTAATTGAAATCAGCAGAGTTTAAATGAAGCTAACTGCTTAGTCGCCACGCAGTGCTTCCAGCTCATCGGCAGCCTCTTTGGATACCCTATGATATTTGGCTACAGTTGGTCGGTAATAGTAGGCTTGATAATCGTTACGCTCAGACATTTTCCGGCGAATTTCCTCTTCGAGATTGCTGCAAGCAATTAAATATATTAAGGTTGTAGGGGTTTTGTTCAATTTCGAACTCATATGATGTGTACCGAATTTGCGCTTTCTCGTTTTCCTCGTATATATTGTGCAGAGCTTTCTCGTATTCCTGTTGCTGCGATGTCAGAATATAGCGCGAAATAAACCGGGAAATTGGATGCTAAAAACAGTAAACAAATACGCTTGTATGATCCAATTAAAGTGTTAATGGCTCAGTCGCACCTTCTCGTATTCCCAGTGCTTGGGTACGTAGCCTTCGGGTATTTCGGACAGTTGGGATGGTCCCACAAAGATGTTTGAGTAGAGGATCAGCGCTGTGACCGGAATCACGCCGAGCATTACGTAAAAGTGCATCAGATCCTTGAATTTGTCCCATTGGAAGCGTGAGGGCTTGATGGTCATGTGGTGGTGTCCATGATCACCGGCCATTTGGCGTAATTGCTGTTGCAGTGCTTAAATGGGAGTCCGTGCAAGCATATTAGTATATGGTTGCGTAATGTGGGCTATGTTTACAGCTGTATGTTTTTCAATTTAGCACCTGTACTTACCATTGCGTGTGGCAGGCGTTAAGAGAACTGCGCGATTCTTGGCAAATTGTGCCGCTGGCAACAGCAAACGGCTCCAACCAACCATTTTTAGCAAATGTTATGCTGTTGTGCTTTACACCCAAATAATGTGAACTGTAGTCAGTCGGTCAGTCAAAACAAGGGCTGGCGCAGTTTTGTTTTGCATCAAAAAAATGTTCAATTATCGATAAGCGTCATCAATACTATCGATAGCAGCCAGTAACTTGACGAATGATGTACAAGTGACCGTTCATAGTTAATGTTATTATTACAAGTGCACACAGAACACCATACTAATTGATAAACTTTAAATGTGTTTTTGTATGTGCCTTTATATGTGAAGCACGTGTACCGTTATCAGAAACATAAAATTAGCAGCCTCAGCAGCCCTGGTATAAAACATCGCCTCTACTGATTGCCAGCCCTGCTGTGGCGCAGAGTTAAACACAAACTTTTTCGTCTGGACACAAAACATTGTTGCAATTTTGTTTTTGGATTTTTTCGCAGACAAAAAAAGTGATAGGTAATTATTAAACCGACAGTCTTAAATAAGACAAAATGGAGCATAGTCAGACAATATAATTGTTAAATTTGCGAATCGTGAATACCCATTTC